AAAAAAAAATCTAACGATCATAGAGGAAGAGTTTAATTGTAAATATATTATAGTATTTGAAGATTAAAAAAAAAAAAAAAAAAAGAAAACAAAAGGAAAAATGTTTTTACCGTTTCCACAATTTTGGAATTTTTTCGAATGTATTTTTTTGTTTGTTTGTTTGCTTGTTTGTTCTTATGACTAGTTGTTGTTGTTGTTGTTGTTGTTGTTGTTGTTGTAATTCGTAGGAAGGTCACAACAATCTATCCAGGGAATTTTCGTCGTTTATCGAAAAGGTGGCTGCTACGGAAACGTGGATGAAAATCGTTCGTTATTCTCGCGCAGGCGTTTTATCGTTTTACCAACGTAGTTCGTCGACGATGTTCTACCTCAATCGCATATAATCTAAGGTGGTTTTAAACATTCACAAGGAATTCTATAAATTATTAGCAAAAATCCCCTAATATCATACATTTGATTCTTATATTTTATTATTATTTTTATTCTTCAAACTTATCTTATTTTTTCTACAAAACTTTATCTAAAATATTAAATATTATCATCAATGTTCAATTAAAAATTACTAACCAATAATTACATGTTAATATTAATTGTTGTGACACTAAATGTCCAATAAATATTTTATTTAATAAATTCTATAATTTGAGAATACCTACACACGTATTTGTTGTATAATACTATCACTAATCGTAATAATATTTATGCTATTTTTTGTTGAAATAATTAATTAAGTTAAGAATATAATATGTAATTGTTTTTTATAAAAATATAAGGAAAATGTGATCGGTGAATTTTTATCCAAACTCAAACGACATTTATTTTTTATTATTATTATTATTATTATTAGTTGGTATTAAAAACTCGAAAGTTCATTGCCGCAAAAACCAAGATTTTGTATTCGTAATTGACATAAATTTGTTCATATCGTTTCTTTGCAATATTGCTTCTATCTTTTCAACATCATTAAATTTGATTTATTTATTCAATTTATTCATGTTCAATTGTTCTCACATTGGTAGAAAAAGATATTTGTTTTCTGATTCTTATTGTATCGCTTTTATTTGTAATATTATAATAGAATTGACATTTTTTTTTTATTTTTTTCTTTTATTTTTTTTAGGAGATTAGAAAGATATTTGATATTAAAATGTCAATTATTATTTTATTATACATGCTAGATGAGAAATAATATGTTATACTACTTGTTGCGGATGATTCGAGCTTGCGTTCTTGGTTATTGATTAACAGAGAAGGAGGATAGGAGGTCGAAGTGAGACGGACGTATATTTTCTACAATGTACGTGAATGGCTGGCTGCTATCCACACCGTTGCGGATTTTGAGCTTGACCCGGATTCGTCAGCATCGAGTTCACGTTTACCTTCACTTTCGTTGACTATCGCGTCATAGTCAAATATCAATCGACCAAAGATTCATACATGAATTTCATGCTAATTAAATCTTATATTTCATTTTATTTTATTTAGTTATTTGTGTAATATTAAACAAAACTAAATCATATCAGCATCCTCCAACGTTGCAACAATCTTTTTTATCCAACACGTGTTTGTATTACCTGTAAAATGAAAAATATTACAAAAATATTTAATTGTATGCAAAAAATATATTAAAAAAAAAAAAATAAATAAATAAAAAAATTCGGTTGATAAATCTTAGCAACTGTGTATTAAATAAATGTTTACATTGTCACGCTTAACAAATTTTTAAGAAAAAAAAAAAAATAAAAAATTAACATTAAATTAATTTACACAAAAATAAATTTTATTTTTAAATATCTATGGTTTTTTATCACAATGCGTGAGATTTATTCAAATAAATCGTTGTAAAAGAATTTCTTGATGATAAATTGTCAAAGGATAGTACCAATCCTAGTTGATAAGTGAATAAAATACAAGAGTGAGGAAATAAATGAATAGAAGAAATGAAAAAAAAAAAAAAGAAAAAGAAAAGATAGGAAAGTAAAACAGTAAAAGAAGAAGAAGAAGAAAAAAAAAAGTAGAGTAAAAGGATCTCCGATTAAAGGCAACGGGGGGGGTGTAGGGGGTTGGATGGATATCATCCTCCTCTGTGTCCTTCGTCCTTCTCTGCACGCCGACGCGAAACTGTTTGCGTTTATTGCGTCTGCGCGTTTAGGTGCTTTTTAGCTTTGGAAGGGTAGCACGAGAGAGAATGGTAGAGAAAGACACACAGCAGAGGTTGGTTGTTCGTACAGTTGGAAGCTTTACACAGCACCACCAAATTATTCCTCATTTATAATTTCTTTCTTATAATTCGATAAAGATTTTTATTCGTGTATTTAAAACGATTAATAATTCAAACAAAATTATTTAACTACGAGATAAAGGTGATAGTTAAGAATAAAAAAAAAAAAAAAAACAACGACATCCAGTTATTTTCTTTATCGTTAAAAAAGTCTTCTTTGTTAGGAAAGATATCTGTTTGTCTCTCTCTCTCTCTCTCTTTCTCTCTCTCTCTCTCTCTCTCTCACTCACTCAAGATATTTCCATTTTACGTTGTTGTTGTTAAAAAAAAAAAAAAATTCGCAAAAAAGTTGTAGTTTTGATTTTTTGTCCTAACTTCGTTTAAACTAAATCAGTGAAAGATAAAAGGTTTAATCTGGTGAAAGAAGAATAGTATCTGCTGGTGTTGCTGTTGCTGCTGCTGTTGCTGCTCCTGCTACTGTTGGAAGAGTTCATTTGTAGAAGAAGAGCTAGCAAGTGTGTGTATAGGTGGAGCGTGTGTGTATATGTGAGAGAAAAAGAGAAAGAGAGAGAGAGAAAGAGAGAGAGAGAAAGAGAGAGGGGTTATCGAACGCTGAGAGTTTTAAGCCATCTTTTCTTTTCCATCATCCCTTAACCAAAGCAAACCATTTCTCTCATCATACTTGGTGTCCCGTTTATATTTTGATAAATTTTTTTTAATCGTATATATATATATATATCTCTATTTGTTATCAAACGATCATATCGGTATTTAACTTGTAACCTCCCTTTGTGTGCGATAAAACAAAAGGATGATTTTCCGTGAGGGTTGAACCGTGGCAGAAAGCGTCGAGGAACAACATGAACAACAACAACACGGTGGAGTGTGCGTGAACCGTGAGACAAAAGATAGCTGGGTAAAAGTGTTTTTACGGGGCAAAAGTAGCCCGGCTAGCGAGCAGGCTCCGGGACTCGAGCAACAGGTAATTTTCCTATATACTTTATACTTTCGGCCCGCTACTTTTTACTTCACTTCTTGGCGTTCCACTTTTCGAGAGGGTGGTGGTGGTGGTAGTGATGGTGATGGTAGTGATGGTAATGGTGGTGGTGGGAATGGTTGTAGTTGTAGAGAACTGGGGGGTTGGTTTGCTGGATCGAGCAACGTGTCCTTGGATTTACCGTTTATATTGTACAATCGAATTTAATCAAACCCCATGACTTCATTTCTATGTTTTATCTATCATCATATTTGATTATTTGATTTTTAACTCATTGACTGTCAGACATTTTTAGAGAATCTTGCCTTAAATTTTGAAAAATATAATAATATTAGGTTATTGATATAATATTGTAATGATATTTACAATAATTGATAATTAATGTTGTTTATACTGTATATTTTATTAAACATTTTTAATAATTCTTAATGCAAATAACCATTTGTAATTAATCTAAAATTGCAGCACACACTACGAGATATCTCGTAATTGGCAGTCATGGGGTTAATCTAACATTTCATGTGTCATTTTTTTTACAAATTATTATCTCTGATTTATTTTATTATAACGTTAATAGATTTAGATTTTTCCTATTCTGTTATTGTTCACTTTAGTTGATCAAAATCATTTGATTATTCATCTATTAATTGTTTTTTAATTACAGCTCTTAATAAAAATCTTTAAAAGTAATTTTTCTTTTTATTATTAAGAACAATTCCTCTCGATGTATTTTTTAATATCGTTAAAAAAAAAAAATATAAAATATCCTGATAAATTATTGATAAACCATGATATATTGTTCAAAAAGGGAGAGGGTGTTCTTCTTAATGTTCTTAACTCACGCTACGATTATTTCATGCTTTTTACACAATCGTGAAAAGAAAGTTATATGAAAAAGGAAGATGATGGGGGTGGGAAGATTTTTATTGTTAAAATAGGTTAATTCAGGATGATGAATGATAGATAAGAAAATATATTGCTACAAGAGGAAGTCATTTCAACTCGTAAAGTACCATCGAAAAAAAGAAAAAAGGAAATGAATAAAAAATGAAGATAAGTTTTCCTATATTTTTTTTATTTTGTTTTGTTTGAAGTAGGGTGCAGAATTTTAAAAGAATTTATTGATGTATTTATTTATAAAAGAATTAATTGTAAAAGAATTTATTGATGAATTTATTTATAAAAGAATTAATTGTAAAAGAATTTATTGATGAATTTATTTATAAAAGAATTAATTGTAAAAGAATTTATTGATGAATTAATTTCGACCATAGGGGAAATATTTTTTGCATCTGTTTGATAACTTTGAACGAATATTTTTATTTGCTATTCAATTTTACAATAAAATTTTTAACTTATTTTTGTTTTGTTTGATTTAATTAATTTGTATTAAAATGTTATCGTTGCATATGTGTATTTTCTATTTGTTTTCTATTTGTTTTTTATTTTTTTAGGAAAGCACAAGCCCGATGCCGGAAGCTTCGGGATCGCGGGTGGTCGACGAGTCGGATTTTTCGACTTTCGAAAATAAAACTGGTCTTGCCGAAGACATGAAGTTCTTGGCAAGTATGCCAGAACTTTGCGATGTCACATTTCTCGTCGGTGACACCAAAGAGCCTGTTTGCGCCGTCAAGGCTGTCCTCGCTGCCAGAAGTAGGTTAGTATCGTTTATATTATCATTATCAATACGAATATATAATACAAAACGTATTATCTCGTGAGTGATAGCAAAAAATTGTTTGACAATGAAGATGGAAGAACAATAAAAATAAGAACAGGAAGATGATGATGAAAACCAAAAAAAACATACTTACATGAAAAAAAAATATAAACATCTACCTTACGTTGTTTTCTTTTTTTTTTTTTTTGTGTTATCTTTATTATTACTTTTTTTTCCTTTTTTTAAGATCAATACGGATAGATTCGCATAAATGTTATCTTTATTATTACAGAGTTTTTCATAAAATGTTATACCAAGCGCCGAGTCCTCAACGAAAAAAAGAACCACCAACCAGAGAAAACAAGATACGACTTTTTTTAAAGAGAAGCTCCGAACCACTGTTAAATTTACAAAACGCGGCACAGCAGGTAATTAATTATTCGATTTGTTTTATTATTCTACGTTGGAATCCTTATGGTCCAATCCTTCGTTGAATTCCTTATATACAAAACACGTACGTTATACGTATACACAAGGTGTCCATGAATAAATGAGACAAAAAAAAAATAGATTTTTTCTCATTATTAAAAACAACAAAATATATTTCATTAGAAATATTTGTTGTATCATAAATTTCATTCGTTCTAATGAAGTAATCATTTATATAAAATTCAAATTATTCTAAGACACCTTGTACATAATATACACGTACGAATATATGGGACGTGTGTGTTAGATATTTGATAAATAATTATAATCAAAATGCTAATTGAGGATTTAGAATTTATAGAAGTATGATTTTTTTTATAGACGAGTTAAAAGAAACGTTTCGACATTGAACATTTGAATATTTTGTTCTTTTTTTCTTCCTCTCGTTCATTATTATTTATTAAAAAAAAAAAAAAATAATAATTAATAATAATAGCGTGATAGTAAGCGTGCATTTGTTATGTGTCAAACAGCGATCAGGGTTTACGCAGCAGCTGGCACCTATACAAGAGGTATACTTCTTCAAAAATCGAATTTCGATTTTTCAATTAGAAATACTTACTTATTTGCACAGCACTACTTAACTATCGATTAGAGTATAAACTATTTATTTCATTTACAAATAAAACCTTTTTTCAATACACACGAGTAGATGAAACTTGTAAAAGATCTATTAGTGAATGTCATGCTCCCATCTTCTTTTATTTGTAGTCATTGGTATTGATTTATCGTGAATGTGTGTTACGTATTTTATATTTTCGTTAGGAAGGATTCGGTTTTATATATATATATAGAAAACCTATTAGTTTCTCTACAAATCGATTCGATATTGCATGCGATATTCCTTCAACTATCTCTGATATTTCCGATTTTACTTTTACCTTTCATCTTTCTCTTTCTTTTTTAATACCATTTATTCGTCATACTTGAAAATTTTGCACGCTTCTCTCTCTCTCTCTCTCTCTCTCTATATATATATATATATTTTTACCGAAGCTCTACAAAATATTGATATCGATACTCAACGTGAGTTTATAAGATTTTCAAGTGTGTGTAGTAGAAAAAAAAGAAAAAAAAATGAAAATAACACTCGAATAAACGATAGAAAATGTTGTTCAACGATTATACACACCTTTATTTTTCTTTTTTCATTTTTATTTCTTTCTTTTTATTTTATTTTTTTTTTGTTTTTTTTTTGTTTTTTTTTTTTCTTATTTATCGTGTATTATAATTTAGTATAGAAAATTAATCAAGCACAATTTCTATTGCACGGTAGAATTTGTTCATTTGAATCAAATATCATCGTTTAATTCATATTATAATATTCATCCCAAAGAATTTCAATGATTCTCACTTTTATCTATTAAAAACTGTTGATCTGTTTAAACATCATTAGAAAATCAAACGAACGAGTATAATTTACAGTCAATTATATATAATGTATATGAATATGTATATTATCGTTGAGCCAATGAGTAAACAAAATGTAAAATATCGAAAACAACCAACGAAAAAAGAAAAAAAAAAAAAAAGAAAAACAAATGCACCTAAGCTTAAAAGGAATAGCTTAAAGCATGATTATTAACGATCGTCTGATAAATGACATTTGATTTCAACATTTTAATGAATAAACTTGAAATTCTCGTGTTTCTCGTAGCCTCAATCAAATCAACATCATACTCTCATCATTGAGGAGTTCGAGCCGGATGTTTTTCGTCAACTCATCGAGTATATTCATACCGGTTGCGTCACCCTACAACCAAGAACCTTGTTAGGTAATTAACAAAATGTTATTTACTTTGATTCAATCGAAATACAGTTTTATTGATAGTTTATCGAAGTTAACATCGACTGTCATATTAATCGAGTAATTTAATAATCATAATAATAAATTTCATTTATATTTATTATATTATATTAAAGTATATAAATTATATATTAATATATTATATATATCATTTATTTATTTTTATTATATTAAATTATATAAATTATATATTAATATTATATAAATATAATTTATTTATTATATTATTTATTATATTATATATAATAATAAATTTTGTTATTTTTTTTTCGGAGTATATTAAGAAAGATAATGAATCATTTATTGTTTATACTATAAATTATTATTATTATTATTATTATAATTATTCGAATATAGAATATTGATCGATTCATAGATCTTTTAAGTTATCTTTGTATGTGTACGTGAGCTAATCGATAGCCGATAAATTACCATAAGGTAAACATTTCGTTGAAAGGGAACACTAGAGCCTAGCATGTTTGTGTGTATGTGTGTGTGTGTTTGTCCCACCCTGACTATCACGGATAATCAATACTTTATGCGTTACCGAGCCCGACCGATCGACTTCTTCTTCTTCTTCTTTTTTTTTTTTAATTATGCAGGTGTTATGAATGCCGCTGATTATTATGGATTGGACGAACTTAGAAAAGCCTGCGCTGGATTCGTCCAATGTTGCATAACCGTCGATACTGTTTGTGCATTATTAGCATCGGCCGAACGTTATATACAATACAAATGCACCAAATCTTTGGTACAAAAGGTAAACATAATAATAATAATTTTCTCATTTATTTTTTTTTTTGCTTATCATTGTTTTAATAATTTTATTTTTTATCAGCTTCATTATTTACAAATGCTATTACTTCTTATGAAATTAATTTCCAAACTATTAGCTTACAACAGATAAGATAAATCGTCGATAAGATACTAGATGAGAATGTACCAACAAAAATTTGTACACAATTGTGTATCTTCTATTAATTCAGTAAATTTATTCATTTCTTTTCTATTTTTTTTTTTTTTTTTTTTTTTTTTTTTTAAAGGTATTAGAGTTCGTGGACGAACATGGGAACGAAGTGTTAAATTTAGGATCTTTCACTTTACTGCCTCAACACGTTGTACGTTTGATATTGGCAAGAGAAGAATTACGTGCTGACGAATTTACCAAATTTCAAGTGAGTTGAAAGAAACATAATTATTTGATAATACGAAATATGACACACATATGTACATGTATTATTATTATTATTATTATTAATTTATATTATCAGGCAGCCTTGATGTGGAGCAAGAAATATTACGATAGTAATCAAGATATTCCATTGAAGAACATAATTGGAAATTTTCTTGAATATATTCAATTTCACAAAATTCCAACGAACGCTTTGGTAAATGAAGTTCATCCATTAGGATTGGTACCTGACAGTATCATTATGAATGCATTAGCATATCAGGTGCGTTTAGTTTATCCCACATAAATCAAATCTACATTGCTTTTTATTTTGATTTATTTAAATAAATATATGTAAATATTATAGAAAGTAAAACAAAATAATATTATAAATGAAAATTTGGGAAGTCACTTGACCCAGAGATTGTTGCAGGCAGACCCAACCAGTGTCGAGCCCGGGAAACTCTCCCCCCCCAAAGTGAGGAAACAAGGCCGTAGTATGTCGGTCCAATCATCGTTGGAACCATATGGTAGCAATACAACTTTGAGCTCGAGCGGTTCTGACACTGGTTTCGAACGTAAACAGCACTCTGGTAGCAACTAACCTCAGGCCACGGCCGCACTGACAGCGGCCGTTTCGGATGAGCCTCGACGCGAGGATATTATCACTAATGGCGAGAATGAAAGAGGTTTATATGAGCAACAAAGAAACGGTGATGATGCTCCGACCGATGCTGAGATTGAAGAATGGGAAAGGAAAAAATTCCAACGTAAAGAAGAAGAAGAACGACAACAACAACAGCAACAGCAAGAGCAGCAGCAGGAACATCAACAACAGGAAGATGAACAAAGACAGAAAGAACAGGAAGAACAACAACAACAACAACAATATGAAGATGAACAGCAACAAGAACAACAGCTACGATTAAAAGAAGAAGAAAAAATAGAAGAAGCAAAGTTGAGAGAAGAAAAGGTGGAACAACTGCAATTTGAGGAACAAGAAAGACAAATGCAACAACAACAGCAACAACACGAGCAAAAACAAGATCAAGAACAACAACAGCAGCAACAACAGCAACAAAATGTCCACCCAGTTGAAGGAGTAGGTGGTGGTCTCTACATTCGATTAGTTCTCAGACGAGAAGGCCGGGCGGACTTAGTTTGGTTATATAAAACGCACAAGTTCTAAATTGAAATCTTCTAAATTGCTCTATCCTATCCTTCAATTCAATTCTCAGCCGTTGTTTGTAGTTTAGAGATCATTGTAAATCGAGTTGAACGGAATTTTGAACGAAATGAGGTTTGCCCTGTTTTAGTTTTTTTAATTTGGTAAAATTATCGTTTAGTAGATTTTCATTTGATCGTTGCGATAAAATATTCTTTTGAGATATAGTGTTAAGAAATTTGATAGAAATATATATATATACATACATAGAGAGTACACAAATACAACACACATATTACACGCACACGGCACGTGCGAGAATGAGAAGAAAAATAGAAAAGATGATTACAGATGATTATAGATACAAATGTTTAACATACGTTGCCCGTTTGGATTTGTTGAAATTTTTAAATTATAATACGGTTTTTACTTGTGAATCAACCGTGTTGGTTATATCATACTTAAAATACATATTACATATATCATCGTAATTGTGCATCCAATTGAAAGAAAGCTTATACATATAATAATAATCGGAACGCTTATACTTCGAATTCGATTTTGTGATATCATCATACTCTCTCGATTGCTTTTAACGAAGCACGATAAAGCACAATTACATACGCCTTATCAAAGGAAAACTAATAAAAAAAAAAAGAAAAAGAAAAAGAAAAAGAAAAAAAAAGAACTTCATTTGAGCAATGTTAACATCGATTGTTAAATATGCTGTGAACATAATATATAACATATTGAAATAATAATGCATAGATAGATACAGTATGTATGTGCGTTGTCAAATGTGTATTCTAGATTACAAAACCTTTGTAGTTTCTCGTTAATTAAATCAACTAATTGCCTTTTTCAAATCATCGGGACATATTTACTTTCTTTTTTTATTTTCACAATGAAACGTAGTATGTTAAACAGCAGCAATAGTGTGTTGCTCGAATCCTTAATTAATTTTTTATTCGATAAATATTTATACATATACATATATATAATAGACTATTTTGTTTGACTTAATACACACATTGGATAAAAGAATAAGCATATATTATATCGTTAGTTGAATCATAGTTATCATACATATATATGCACTCATATATAATATATACATACATATATATATATATATATATATATATATATATATATATATATATATATATCCCGTTAATCTTGAATTGAAAATGATCATTCGCGTATTTAATTTAACGCTAACTAATGATCTATCAATATATTATATCGTCATGCATAATTAGTTAATCATTAGACAAATCATTCATAATGTTATTGTTGAATATTGTACTTGATCTACGACATATCCATCGATTATGATAATGTCAGAGAACTACAAAGACTTATTACTATATAATATATAATATATCTATATATATAAATACATATATTATACATACATACATACATATATATTTGATACAACATTAAAGTTGCAGAATATATTATTATCAATTATCAAATGTGAGAATAGTTAGACCGGCCGCAGATGATTTAACACATAAACACATACACACACACATATATATATACACACACATAAGTAATATAATATTATATAATGATTCGACTAATTTTTCATTTGTAATATCTTTTTCTTATTATCGTTAAGATTTATCTTTGATATTATATTAATTAATTTGATAAGAAAACTTATTCTTAAAGAAAACAAAAAAAAAACAAACAAAAAAAACAAAAAGCAAAAGAAACTAAACGAAAAAAATCGCTTATAATAAATAATTTCTCAAGTGGAAGTCTAAGATCTGTTTACGAAAGTATAATTTGGTAAATGCTACGTCTAAACTGCCATTCTTGATTAGAAAACAAAAAAAAAAAGAAAAAAAGAAAAGGAAAAAATAAAATAAAAGAAAAGGAAAGAAAAATTACGAAAAAAAATGATGGAGAAACCAATGACATTGAATTCAAATCAACGATCGTAATTCTTCACATATTATTAATTCAAACTAATGAGATTAGTTTTTTTGTTTTTTTTTTTGTTTTTTTTTTTAATTGTTATTTTTTTTCAATTGAACGATTTTCGTCTTCCACTGCGCGCACAAGAAAAAAAAAAACAAAAAAAAAGACAAAATCTATCGAACAAAATCTATGCAAAATTAGAAAATGAACGGAAATACTATCACAATGATACATAAAAGTATATATATATATATATATATATATATATATATCATCTTTATGAATGACTTTAAACGACTGATTTGATCATTTCTACGTTTAAATTAGAGTGTTTTATCAAAGTTGTTGTGTGATATGGGAATATACAAAGTAAAAAAAAAAAAATACACGTGTAGTCGTTCGATGGATGATAAGAAAATAATTTAACGATCGACGAAATTTGATTGATCACAAATATGATGTTGACTTTTGAACACGATCTGGTTCCGGTTTTTTGATGATGATAGGAAAAAAAAAAAAAAAGAAAAAAAAAATAGAAAGAAAACTCTCTCGTCGTCTCGAGTTGGTTGCTACCGATTCTTATCAATCTTCCCGATTATTATTATCGTGGAAGAAGAAGTATAATGAAAATAAAAAAAAAAAATAATAATAATTTCATTATTATTACCCAATCAGTGTGTAATAGAATTGTTAAATATTGTATAATATGGAATCGACGTTTAATATGTGTGCGTAAAAAAATATTTTAAGTATTTCTTTTTGTATGATTTTTTTTTCTTTTTTTTTTTTTTTTTTTTTTTTTTAGCTAGTTCTGTTTTTTTTTAATTGATTACGTGTCTCTTTCTATCTTCGACTAAATTAATTCTATCTGTGTTTTTTTTTATTTTACATTTTATTTCATGCCAAAGAACTATATCATTGAATCTTTCATGAACATATGTCAAGTAAAAAAAAAAAAAAAGAAAAAAAAATAATATTAGAATATTAATTTTGTATCTACGAATAATTCAATATGTTTTTTTTTTTTTTTNTCAGTGTGTAATAGAATTGTTAAATATTGTATAATATGGAATCGACGTTTAATATGTGTGCGTAAAAAAATATTTTAAGTATTTCTTTTTGTATGTTTTTTTTTTTTTTTTTTTTTTTTTTTTTTTTAACTCGTTCAAACGTGATACGTGTGTCAGTATTTTTTATGTTATTTTAATATAAATTAATTCTATCTGTGTTTTTTTTTATTTTACATTTTATTTCATGCCAAAGAACTATATCATTGAATCTTTCATGAACATATGTCAAGTAAAAAAAAAAAAAAAGAAAAAAAAATAATATTAGAATATTAATTTTGTATCTACGAATAATTCAATATGTTTTTTTTTTTTTTTTATTTACGAGATAAATATTTTTCTTTTTATCTTGCTCTATTTTTCTTTTTTTATTCTTTTGTAATTTATTCCTAACTATAACACATATATATATATATATATATATATATATAACTCATACACCTGTAAATTGACTAATGAAATGATATTTTCTCGTAGCACTTAATCACTTTACTATAGTAGTAATAATAATCTTCCATCTGTTATCCTTTCGCATTTTCTGGTTCGTTGACAGTTTATCAAAATTCAAAAAAGGTTTTTCGTGATAACCCATGGATAATTATTTCAAGTTACTCGTATCAAGTAACACGATGACGTGTTCAATTACGAAAGAAAAAATATTTCCTAAAATTGCTCGTGCGTTGTCTAATCGTCAAAATGAAATGCAACTGTCACTGTCATATCTCTCTCTCTCTCTCTCTCTATCTATCTCTATCTATCTATCTATCTCTCTTTCTCTTTCTATCTTTTTCTAATTTCTCACTGTATATTTCTCTGGTCTTGTTTTTTTTTTCTTCTTTTACGATAACATGTATTTTATTATTATTATTATTCATCGTCGTGTGCTACGAGTGGCTCTCGATTTCATAAGTGTCAAAAGGGTATATTGATGAATGTTCAAAACGTCAAATTTATTCGTCTGTATGCTCTCACATTTGTCCGTGCGCATCAATATTTTTATTGTTTTGTACTATCATAAGATGTCCGTCAAAATAATGCTAATAATGAGATGATAATATTTAATAATAATAAAAAGAAGAAGAAAAAGGAAAAAAACGAAGAGGAAGAAGAGGAAGAAGAAGAAGAAGAAGAAGAAGAAGAAGAAGAAGAAGAAGAAGAAGAAGAAGAAGGGCAGTAATATTAAAAATAATAAGAACAAACAAAAAAGAAAAAAAAGAAAAGAATAAATAAAGAAAAAAATAGTAAGAATAATAATGATAACAATAAATAATATCGTTAAGCAGCCTAATCGCGCCAATGTTCCACTTCATACGCTCATACGTAACAATTTCATTTTAATTTTGTTTCCCTCAACAAATTGCATAAACTTAATACGAAAAAAAAATTAATAATAATAATAATAATAGATAATAGTAAAAAAAAATCAAAAACCATAATTATTCTTACTATCGTCATATTTAATTTTTGTCGTCTCTATTCGTCGTCGTCGTCGTCATCGTCGTCGTCGTTCGTGTTTTTAATTTATTGAAAGATTTTAATTCTTTCTTTCACGTTCGTCGTACACATGTGGAATGTGCGCTCGTATTAAAATTGTATTTAGCGAAATACGTGAGCGTTTAAAAAAAAAATTTAAAAAAAAAAATAAAAAATAAATAAAGAGATAAAAGAACAAACGATATTAAAAATAAAAAAAAGAAGAAAATACAAATAAATAAACAAACAAACAAAAAATGATGAAAAAAGTGAAAAGTATGTATAAAAATAATGAAAATAATAAAAAAATAAAAAAATGGAGAAAACAAAAAAAAAACGTATGAAGTTCGC